CACACACACACACACATATATATATATATATATATATATATATAGTTTGTTTCAAATGTAATCCATCACATTTGTACAACTAATGCAACCTAATAAATTGAAATATTTATGGAAATAATGAGAATTTATTTATTATGATTTAAATATTTATGAAAGATGAATAAGGTTCATTAATTATGATCAATACTTTATATTTAGAAACAATCAAAACTTCTACGAAATTATACATTTATCAAATTAAATAGACGGTTGATATTGAGTTGTATTGGTTGTACAAATGTAAAAGTTTGTATAATAACACCTCTCTCTCTCTCTCTATATATATATATATATGGGTTAGGTTTAGATGAGATCAGTTTGTTTTTGTAAGACCTATAAGACCACATTTTTATACTAGAAACTTTACAACAAAATATTATAAAGGTAAAAGAATTTGAACCTTCACATAAAAACAATGTGAATGTTATCTTCAGAGTGTTCTACTGTAAAATTTCTAATATAAATTTCTCTCTCTTTCTCTCTCTTTATATATATATATATATATATATATATATATTACATTAGTTTTGATTCATATATAAATCGTAGCATTTTAGTGAATAACTATCAATAAAAGTACCTTATTGATTTATTTAGCAGAAACAAGTTGGTTAAACGGTTTTCAATTTGATTATTACTTTAATAATTGTTCTTAATCGAATTTAAAATATTAACTATTTTTTAAAATAAAATAAATAAATACAAATATTGACTAGTGAACTCAACCTACTATGAAATGATGAGAAGAATCTACATACTCGTTGATGATTCACCTTTCCGGCGAAGTAACTGCAAAATCAGTCCACCGCCGTTCACTCGCTTCCAATTTAATAATCCGACCATCGGAAACGCCGGTGTATGGACCTGTTCCATCAACAGGATTGAAATCGAAGCTCTCTGGTCCAATTGCACCACCTCCTATCGGGATAACTTCAACATCGCCGTCATACAAATCGTCAGTTGAGCGACTATAAAAAGGAAATCTGACGGATAGCAACACCGCAGATACGAGCAGAACAACCATGGATGCAATCAGTAATAGCTTCGAGTCAAGCATGGCGATAGAGAGAGAAAGATAAAGGAGATAGAGAGAGAGATAGAGAAAAGGACCACCACGTTCCTTGTGAAGCCCAACGGAAAAACAACCCTACCTTAATAGTAGGACTCTAAACCGCTTTCGTCTTCTTCTCCTTTGCCCTTCTAATCTCCATAAGATACAATATATATATATATATATATATATATACATATATATATATATATATATGTATAGATGTATGTATATATGTATGTATATAATATCATATATGACATACAAATTTATCGTCTTATTAAGTTATGCTTTGAAAAATGTCGCGTCATCGTCATAACGTGTAAAAGAATGAGGCTTGACCTCGCTGCAACGCCACACCTCACGCCATTTTAAACCTTGGTTCAAATGAGTTTTTTTTTTAGTTCATCAATGATTCCAAAATGAATCACTTATTCATATATTCTCAATTTTTTTCTTACTTATTTGAACCTTCCCGTACCTTGTCCTCTAGATTGAGTAAATTTGATGTTGGGTTTGATTTTTATGACTTTAATATGTTAAAAAGTGGCCAATTACCGAAAAACCACATGTAGACCTCGGTTTAGGGGTCGTTTACCATACACTTACCCGGGTAAACGCTTATCAAGTCAAATTACCTTATCGGATGAATATGGTAAGAACTAAAAATCTTACCTAGTAAGAGCGAGATAAGGATCAAGAGTCTTACTCGGTAAGTAAGGGCGACGACTTTTACCACGGTAAGCGCTTACTGGGTAAATTGTTACATACGGTGCCGTTTTGGTGAACTAAAGTCTTACCTGAAAAGTAAGTGGTAGTGTTAAATTTTACCGATAAACACTTAGCGGATAAGTGTTTGGTAAACGGCCCCTTAATACCATAATCCCTTTTTAAAGAACAAGGGTTTTACCGGCCTTTATGTTAAGTTTATCTTCAAATGGGGGGAGATATATAGAGGATTTTTTTTTTTGGGAGTATATAATATTTATATACGGCAAATGCAACAAATAAATTCACACACCCTCCTCACCTATGGTGAGGTTTGAACCCTTGACCTCCTAGAAGGCCAAGGGCTACGATACCGCTAGGCCAAAGGCCTTTTGGTATGTATAGAGGATTCATACATAGTGAAATAATCATTCACATTCCCGACATGATCAATAAAACAACATCAATGTAATGACCATTCTCAGTATCTAGCATTTCTATTTTCATTTTAATTTCCTAAAACGACTCAAGCTAGCGGCCCCTAAAGCCAAAGGGTCATCCTTCTAGAACGACAAAAATCCCAGTCTTATAAAATTTAAGAAGCGTGTATTAGTCTTATAGTAAATAAATATTATATACATACAAAAAATAGACATATATTCAAAAGTATTAGCAGATCCTAGGTTCAAATCCAATGAGGAATAAAAATCTTTTTGTGGCCACGAAGGTTCAAATGCGGTGACTCTGGGCTATCTGCAAAGCAGGTGGTCGTCCTGGGATTAGTCGGCTCGCATAACGAGTTAGATATCCAGGTTAATAAAAAAATAGACATATGACCAACTTTGATTTGTTTTCTAGTAGATATCTAACTTTATTTTTCAACTTGTACCTAAAAGATATAGTTGTAAAAGCAATAATCAAGAGTTATTCTGTTTTTTAAACCAAAAAATAAAGCATTTGGAAATGTAGTTAATTTATATAAATACATCTTAGTAGTTGGTTGGTATATATAACTATCAATAAATTGCACTCATATCATTTGTAAAATTTAGTAGAACTTAATTAGTGGAATTTTAATATATATTGATCTTCTCATCAATAGTAGAACTTAATTAGTGGAATTGCACTTATATATATATATATATATATATATATATATTTAGGTGGAGATTTAAACGAGAACACCTTCATTTTACGAGAACATGAGAACATCCTTATCACATGTGATAATACACTTGAGGGGACTTGGTGGTGTATGGATATTGTGCCTTGCGACTTAGGTCGCACCAAAGGTCGTCTGAGTTTATGATTTAGTATCACATGTGATGGTCTTGATGAATTATAGTATCACATTAATAACACATTTATCACATGTGATAGTACATGTGAGGGGGCTCAGTGGTGTAAGGGCGACTTGGCCTACAACCTAGATCGTGTCGAAAGTTATCCACGTCTCTAATTTAGTATCACATGGGTATCATATGTAATCAAATAATAATATCACATGTGATTGTTTATGGTAAAAGTGTGTTCTTGCGTTCAAGTAAAATGAAGGTGTTCTTGTTTGAACCATTCCATATATATATATATATATATATATATATATATATATATATATATATAGAGAGAGAGAGAGAGAGAGAGGTGAGTTATTATACAACTCTTCACATTTGTACAATCAATACAACCAAATCTCAACCGTCTATTTAATTTGATGAATATTTGATTTCATAGAAGTTTTGATTATTTCATAATATAAAGTGTTGATCATAATTAATGAATTCTATTCATCTTTCATAAATACTTAAATCATAATAAATGAACTCTCATCATTTCTATAAATACATCAATTAATTGAGTTGTATTGATTGTACAAATTGAAATATATGATATATATATATATATATATTATAAATAATACA